TTTGCTACATGCGTGCTTGAGGACAATGTTTAGTTCTTTGTTAGTTAATTTTTTTGGTATATTTCTCAGGTCGACCTATATTACTGGTTCTAATCAGTAAAAAAAATTTTTTATCTACTAAGACTAGAAGTTTTTTCTGATTATTGTTAATAATTGTATGCGCTGTGACAAATTTTTCCTGAGTTCTTTGGTTTCTTTTTGCACTGCATTCAAATGTCAAGGTATCTTAAAAGTTAAGGGAGCTGGGATAGTTTTTTTTGTACGAGTTTTCTACTTTCAAAAGGAAGGCAGCGAAGCTTACTAAGATGTAAGGAAGTTTTGAAATTTCAAGGTGTTTGTAGTTGCTTTTGTCAAACATCGACGATTCCGCCAAAACAACTGTCAAAGAAATATAGCTGCGAAATTCTTTGATTCAGAGGAATGGTATTTCAGCAGTTTGAAGGGAAGAAGATTTAAAGAAAGGTATTTTTTTCTCAGAAATGTTTCAATTGAATAGTATATAGAGGAAAGTTTTAGAAAAGTTTATGAATGGAAAAAACAGCAACTAAACTGAGGGGAAGCGATGGTTTTTTGATTTTATGAGGCTCTACTGATAATCATTGTTTCGCTGAATAAGTACTAGGGTTTTACGCGCCGAAAAAGTGCTATTGATTTGAACCAGAAACTATGTTTTTTGCACACTTTTCTGTAAGTTATCTCTACTTATTATCTTTTCTGTTAAGCGTGAAGTGGTGCCTTTTGGACGTCGTTTACTTCCTTTGGATTTCACAGTTTTTTTTTGTTTGACCCTAGTTCGTTTACAGGGTCTTGGTACAGGATTAAGTTGCCTATCAAAGGACAAAAAGGTTCTTTTTGCGATGTACTCCTGCAGGTGTTTAAAGCACACAGTTGATTTGTCATTGAAACGATATCGACACTGTGTTGCTAGAGCCGTATTATCATCATCAGCAGTATCTCTCAACCCCGTCCCTCACGGGTTATTGAAATTCTTTGTGAAGGATGTCGTTCTGCCGAAAAGGTTTGGAAATTTTAATACTTCCCCCGCTTCAATTGTAAACGAAGGATTTTTGGGAGCATCATATATCAGATGTGAGAAATGAGAGAGTTGGAACTATTTTTCGTGGGGTTGTCCTGTAAATCAAAAAAAGATAAAAAAAGAACCATTGTCTGTTTTAGTGTTTGAGACAGTAGAGTGATTGAGGCCAAGTAGAAGAAGCTAGGTGATGCGAGGAAAAAATTAGAAAGTTTTGAAATAGGGATTCTGTTTTTCTCTTCTAAGCATTTGATGCCACTTTAGTACTAGTATGTTCTCTTCGTGCCTGTGCTATTAAAATTTTACTGGTATATGTAAACGCAAAAACTTGGGGACTGTAATCATGGAAGCCGACGGTTTGCGCTGACAGTGAATAGGACTTCAAATTTGGTGCTTATTTCGCTAGTTTCAGTTTTGGTTAGGTTTTGGAAAAAGTACACAGTCAAATTGGGCTCAGAAAGCTTTATGGATTAAAGGGATATCTGAAGCTTTTTTGGTGTAAATTTAGAGATTTTGAAGCCAAATTGCAGTAAGTAATAGGCAGGGTTTTTTGAGGCGAGAAGCTTTGAGCTTAATTTTTTATTAATTAATTAATTACTTCTCAAGCGGAAACAGATTCGTCGTGAGGTGAAGAAAGGTGCCTCAAATTTTCCTATCTTTGTCACAGTGGACTTAGTAGACTTTTAAAGGCGTACGTCATAATTCCATCATAAATGGTTTAATCATGGTTGGGGGAGATTATTGAAGTTGATGGAACTATCGTGATGCGGACTTTGGAGGAACTATAGGTAAACGGCAGTGAGTCCGCAGTAGCGTAATAAGAGAAAACATTGACCACTTTTCAGTATGTGAGGCACAAGAGGTTGTTAATTTCTGCTTTTAATAATCTGAAAAGTGCTTATTGAGGCACTACTTTAACATCATTATATGCTCAGAAGGGTGTCATCTGTTCGGCATGGTGATATTGTCCTAGGTCATTAAACCATTCTCCCAGATATGTTGATCATTATGAAGACGTTTATGTCAACAGTTCCGAATGAGTTTGACAAAAATTTAAAGGTGGGGACGGATAGTTGAAAGAGATATTTCATTAGCTCTCAATTTTAGATTTTTTTTTTAAAAAAAGGAGGTGCAGGAAAAAATTTTTATTTTTTTCGGCGTGAAAGAGTAGGGCTATGCGAGACCGGAAATCGTACTCTGATTAAGGATGTAAACGTAAGTAGTCATCTAACGGTGGCCATTTTTTACTGGAAATTTACTCATTGAAAGAGAAACGTGAAAATTATACGGAGGTTACGACACTTTCTGCACAGAAAAACAAATATAATGAATCATCGGGTGTGTACCACGCAAACTTGGATTAAAGCTTATAGTGCCTGTGGTAGGTGATACATGATATTAATAAGACTGTGAACATTTTTTATTTTACTAGTTAGGTTTTTGACTTTTATTTGATAGAGTTCCAACTTCTTTTCGTTCAAGAGTTTAATTAAACTAAGAAAGAAGCACTTCTTTTAAAAACTGAACTTCCCAAAATGGAAGAGCATTTTGAACAGCATTTACTATTTAATTTAAAATGGAAGAGCATTTTGAACAGCATTTACTATTTAATTAAATTAAATAGTAAATGCTGTTCAAAATGCTCTTCCATTTTGGGAAGTTCAGTTTTTAAAAGAAGTGCTTCTTTCTTATTGGTGTGTCTGTACTGAATAACCATGTTTTATATGATGAGCAACAGAAATTAAGGGTTGAAAAGGCGGACTTACAATAATAATTTGGGTATTTTTTTGCATTTGTTCCATAACTTTATTTTCCGATGGCCTTATTTGTTAATTGTTACTTTTACTGGATGTCGTGAAGGGAACTAATTTTAAAGTTTACTTAGCTTCTTGTTTTTGTTTTACTGTCGGCAATAAATGTTGGAGTCAAACTTTATCAATTGGATTCGAAGGGTAAACTGCGGAGAAGGATGCTAATGATTGCTATCGCATAGCGAGATTTAAATAGTTGCATAAGAAATGTTTAAAATGAGTATCATATCTGTGTTCTAAAAATTTTGAGGTAAAAGCTTAGTTCTGGAACACGGTTTTTTTAATAGATCTTTCGAGTTATCTTTTATGATTATACAATCAACAGTTTTCAAACCTGGATAATGATTGTTTAATCTGCTCATTTTTGTTATTTCGTTTTTAGTACTCTTCATTCAATTTCGTTTTTAAATTATTGTGTGTGAAACAAGCTGTATGGTTTTCCTATAAAAAGTTCATGTCATGGGTTAGTTGGAAAAACCGAATTTTTTTTTTTCAGGTCGTTCTCCCGGGAACTCGCTGAAAAGAGTCCTTTACGACGTAAAATAATGACCGTCCCTAATGCTCTTTGCTTTTTCAGGTCAGATTCTTTTTTTAAAAAATACTTGGTTACTTTACTTCTCCAAAATTTTTACAGAATGGGAATAACTCCTTTTATTGGGTATTTGGTGATCACTCATTATTTTGGGTCTGCTTGCTGCTTACTTGTTATTGCTGGATTAACTGATTTGGTAAGGCTTAACTTACCAAAGGAAGAGATATTTTTTTGTAAAGGTTCCCTTTAATTTTAAATTTTAATTTTTAAGGATTTGTTTTTTTTTATAGCTTGATGGTTATATAGCACGGCATATGCGCGGACAGTCATCTTCTCTGGGTAGCATTATAGACCCAGTTGCTGATAAGGTCCTTGTTACTACAATGTTTTTGACTTTAACATATGTAAACTTGATCCCCGGTAAGTTTTTATTGCTTTATTGTTCTTATCATATTTTTTTAAAGCTAATGTTAGGTTATTTTGGTAGTTAAATGTT